GAAAACTGGGTGAGCAGATTTGGCGTGCCAGACAGTATCATAACAGACCAAGGAAGGCAGTTTGAAGCACGACTATTCAGGAGCCTGATGGCGATGTGTGGGGCGAAAGTTCTGCATACCACTCCGTATCACCCACAATGCAATGGGAAGATTGAACGTTTGCATAGAACGTTAAAGACTGCTATAAAGGCACATGGCAACAGCAAGTGGACGGAAACCCTGCCCACAGTACTGCTGGGATTAAGAGCAGCGCTGAGGGAAGATACAAACCATTCGGTGGCGCAAATGGTTTACGGAACGAATATACGACTTCCAGGAGACTTTTTCGAACAATCGAAACAGGAGGTGGAACCTGAGTCCTTCGTAAGCAGACTCCAAAGCCACATGGACCTGTTAAAACCCGCTAAGTCGCAGAGAGGCAGGAAACAAAAGGTATTTGTTCACAAAGATTTAAAAGTGAGTTCTCATGTTTTCCTAAGGGTGGACAGGATTAAAAAACCACTGGAACCGGCATACGACGGACCGTTTCCAGTGGCCAAGAGGCAGGACAAGTACTTTACGATAATGATAAAAGGGAAAGAAGTAAATATCTCGATAGACCGACTCAAGCCAGCGTACATTTTGAAGCCGGAGGAAGATTATAGCGAAGGAAAGCCAAGCAAATCGGATGATAGCGCACAACCCACTGTATTAACACGCGTTAAAAGAACGATTAGACTGCCGCTAAGATTCCAAGACTGAGTATAGGGTAGTAACAAGTACAAAACTGTAAATAGAAGCAATATAATTTAGTCTCAGATTCTATATTTGCATACATAGTCATCGTAACTAGTTATAAATGTAGAGTAACGAGAAAAAGACTGTAAGATGTGATGCGAAACAGGTAAATGTAACGGGAGAATAATCTGTATAGCTTTAAGTTAATTTGTATCGTAACTCAGTTACTGAAAGGGGAGTGATGTAGCGGTGTGAATGGGTTGTAAATAGTGAGTGGTACGACTGATGAGAATGCATGATCGATGACTGAATGGTTGGTGTAAAGAAAGAATGTGTGGTAGGCCTGAAAGGAAAGAACAAAGGAACGAACACGAGGCGGCGAGCAGAAGCGTGTGGCCCGTCCTACGTGGTAGATCGAGTGCAATAAATCAGTAACAGAAATAAGATAGAGTTGTAATTATTAGACCTAGACCAAAGACTTATAACAATAACCTTCAAGAGAATAACACGTGGTACTTGACATCAACTTTTTTTATGAGAAATACTAACAGATACTCGATCGATGCCACCAATACTGTGTATAGTCCGGTCGTAATACAGCGAAGTCGTAAACTCAAGTAGATGTCAAAGTTTACACGTTTCAGCTCCCGGAACAAGTGAATTGACAGAAATACGAGCAGCTAAGCAGTGATGCACATTCGTAGGAATTTTGCCGTATACTCTTAACTAGAATTTAAGGTACCGTTGGATCTGTTAGAAACGTTGAAATAAATAAATGCCTGAAGCGGGCCATGTGCTTCTCCTTGGCGCGTTTCCCCCCTTAACGGAGGATCGGCCAGGACACTTGGAAAAAGGAGGGCCGTACTGTCAAGGGTGCCCTCACGACCCTGGTTTTCTGTCAGGGTACAGAATTGTATTGGCTTTGGCCATGAACAGACACAGAATACAGTTTTAGAAAGTCCACCTCGTGTCAATTTTATCAAAACGCCCGACCGCTATCCTGACCTTAACAGACCCTTTCTTACAGGTCCCCGTAAGGAACAAAATTTAAGGAAGTTACAGGGAAAGAGACAAAAACAAAAAATGTCCTCTTAATCTACACGAGTATAGCTAGAGAAATACGTAGGGGATCTTCGATAAGTTAATTTTTGTGTGATTGGCGAGCATTTGAAGTAGAAAGTTCAATTTTGCACGAAACATGGGAATTCCCAACATGCACCTCTTTTTGCGCTAAAGATACATCTATGGTAGCGGACAACAGGTAGCTGTGATGTCGCTTACGCATGCGCAGAAAGGAATCCCACGAGGGTAAAAATTCCCACGAATGTCCATCACTGCATCTAAGGGTCTTACACCATAGCCAGGGCCGTACGAAGAAAAGTTTTATCCAGTGTCGCCATTTTTAGAGGTATCGTAACAGATATAGGTTTTACTCCAGTCTTTAATATCTTAATTTACCTGCTTACAATATATGCATGTGAGTCATTCCATGCGAAATCGGACACTTTTCGGAGTACGATGTCGGATTTTGTTCTACTTTGAATATGTTGTAGTCTTTAGTGATATATAAACGTATCTCGAAGGATTTTTAAAAATTTTAAAAATTGTTGGTTTTACATCTGTTTGAAATATAGAGCTCCCTTTTTTCAATAAATAATAGCTGCTAAAGTAAAGAAGTTATAAAAATGAAATTTTAGGTACTTGTAGCAGACCCATGGGAGTATCAAATAAAAATTATATCAATTAATAAAAAAATTTTTTTGACTATTTATTTTGCAATTGTTTACAACAAATGTCATTTTTTTATAGCGGGGACATATTTAAAAATCTGAAAAAAAATGGGCATATAGTCCTGTTTGTCCCCTTCACGGACCAAGTTTTAAAAATACGGACACTTTAAAATTGGCCTTATAAAAATTAATTGAATGGAACGCTGCGTCGCGCCGTGGCACGCTGGCTCGACCGGCCAAGTCGCGCAGTGCCTGCAACCGCCAAGCGCCTATACCTGCTATTGTTATACATAGGGTGTTGGACTGCTGGAAAATGTAACAGTTATTGGACACTCACTCTTTGTCAATGACACTTAGCATTATATACATTTAAGTTGTCAATATTCAATGCGATGTTCTCGATGTTCAATGTTCTAGTGGGATAGGATATGATGGGATGTGATGGGATTAGGTTCTGGTTAAGAAATAATGGTTGGATTGTACCAATGATCATCTACCGGATTAAATTGTTTGTTATAAAATTAATTACCTCATAACAGCTACAACTGTTGATTTGTCACTGTCTGAATAAATTCGGGCAGTTAAATGCGTTACTTCTTTAGTTGGTGTAAATAAGTGAAAATTGCGTGTTCCACAGATTGTTGTAGCCAGTCCACGCCTTTCCAGCAAGAATTCCGAATGTTTCTTATATTCTTCTGTTGAGCTGAATTGCAAATGTATGTTTTTAATATTGGCAGTTGCCCAATCAAATAATTTTTGTGGTGTCGTTATCTGGTCTTCCAACGGTATTTGTAAACTAGCTTGAGCAGCAAGACGTTTTAAAGAACCACCAATACCATTTCATGCATTTTTGCCATGCGATGTTGCAAAGTAATGCCATTCGGCGTTGATTCCAAAGTCTTCAAAATGGAAATTGAGAATTAATAAATTATATTTATTTTTGTACTGTGATGATGCTCCGTCAGAAAAATATTTGATTTCCTTGATAGTTGTGCCATGTGTTTCCTTCAAAAATTCCACTAATTTCTTCTGGTATAAATGGACTGCAGTGCTGTCATATTGGAGACAATCCGAAATAATTACAAAGTTTTCATGGTTTAAACAAATATCCACCTGATAATATGCAATGAATGTGTGTATTGTCGCCTGTTTGTTGGACCAATGATAATTTTGGATTTCGTCTTGGATAGCGAAGGAATAATTTTCCGCAAAATCGCCGACGACAACAAATTCATCAGGTCCTACATTTTCTTTAGAATATTTAAAAAAGCTGCTTTGACTTCTTGCAATAAAATCGTGAATTTGCAACTTTGGTAATCGGATTTCTAATTCATCTACAAACTGTGTTGCTGTTAAAAATGTACATTTTGAATTCAACTCAAAAGAAGAATATAAGGAACATTCGGAATTCTTGCTGGAAAGGCGTGGACTGGCTACAACAATCTGTGGAACACGCAATTTTCACTTATTTACAACAACTAAAGAAGTAACGCATTTAACTGCCCGAATTTATTCAGACAGTGACAAATCAACAGTTGTAGCTGTTATGAGGTAATTAATTTTATAACAAACAATTTAATCCGGTAGATGATCATTGGTACAATCCAACCATTATTTCTTAACCAGAACCTAATCCCATCACATCCTATCATATCCTATCCCACTAGAACATTGAACATCCTATCGCATTGAATATTGACAACTTAAATGTGTATAATGCTAAGTGTCATTGACAAAGAGTGAGTGTCCAATAACTGTTACATTTTCCAGCAGTCCAACACCCTATGTATAACAATAGCAGGTATAGCCGCTTGGCGGTTGCAGGCACTGCGCGACTTGGCCGGTCGAGCCAACATGTCACGACGCGACGCAGCTTTCCATTCAATTAATTTTTATAAGGCCAATTTTAAAGTGTCCGTATTTTTAAAACTTGGTCCGTGAAGGGGACAAACAGGACTATATGCCCATTTTTTTTCAGATTTTTAAATATTTCCCCGCTATAAAAAAATGACATTTGTTGTAAACAATTGCAAAATAAATAGTTAAACAAATTTTTTTTTTAATTGAAATAATTTTTATTTGATACTCCCATGGGTCTGCTACAAGTACCTAAAATTTCATTTTTATAACTTCCTTACTTTAGCAGCTATTATTTATTGAAAAAAGTGAGCTCTATATTTCAAACAGATGTAAAACCAACAATTTTTAAAATTTTTAAAAATCCTTCGAGATACGTTTATATATCACTAAAGACTACAACATATTCAAAGTAGAACAAAATCCGACATCGTACTCCGAAAAGTGTCCGATTTCGCATGGAATGACCCATGTAGAAAATGAAAAAAAGTAGTGCAGTTATGGACATAGAAAGGCACCCTCAAGCAAGATGTCATGTATGGCCCTAAATGTCGCAGCAGTAGTCAGTTCCAATCCTCAAGAGTTTAATTTACGATATCGCTATATCGTGGCCCGGACTAATAATTAATAAAAATCGATTGCGAACGATAGTAACTTTAAGTAAAAGGTTTTTAATGGATATACAATAAGGTTTACCTCGAGGTCAATAATTGCACGCGGATTGGGCGCCCGTGGCAATTCCGTGAGATTGTCAGCGATGGATACCTCGTCCTTTCTCACTTCCGCCTCGATGTATCGGAGCTTCCGTTCCATCTCGTCGCATCGACGAACTTCGTTTACGAACTTTCGTTGGAAGTAATTCACATCGCTGTTCAGCTATTAAGAAATCGAAAGAAAATTACTGATTGATTTAAATAAAGCACGAAAACGTATCAAACAAACGATTCAATCTTTAGTCGGACGTGTAATAAATGTTTAAATCATTGTTGTTAGTAATTTTATCCGACTCGAGGGAAAAATAAATTAGTTGAAGCGTAATGAAACTGTTGATGCTTGAGAATTCAGTTAAAGAGTGCAATAAAATAGTTATTATTATACTTACGTCACGAAATTGTACTGTACCCGTTTCCCCGAGTTCAGAAACGGAAAGATAGGCTGACTCTGGTTGAATAAACATTTGGCAGAGGGCCATCTGCTCGCTCCTGAACATGGCCCCCATTTTGAAGGCAATTTAAATGTTATCCTGCGGAGAAAAAAAACATTTTAGAATTTGAAAAATTATACAAGCGACTTTGACAAATATCTGGACACTTGGAAATCTTCATATTTTTAATATGACGAAAAATAGAATAATATATTTAAAAAAAGTTCTAAATACTAATGTCGTGTATGGAAAAATATAAAGTATCGATGTTTGACAACTGTGTAAGAGCCCTCGTGCTGCGCTGGGATTCTCTAACGCTATTTCTACGAAACAAAAGGACGTAATTCGATATAACGTTTATTATATTTATACAATAGTGACGGTAATCCAGTTTATTATCAAATATGTAGATAAGGCTTGATGAAACGAAGCTGTGCAATAAAACGCGATCTTATCACGCAACGATAATAACAAGTGTATCGCATTATTCTCTTGGACCTACGTGTGACGAAATCCATACATACTTTGTAATCAACGAAAAAGAGATCCATAAAGTCAACAATAAATACCAAGAATCAACCTCGAACTTAAAATATTAAAATTAATCGGGATTACCGGAACAATTTCATCGTAAGCCTATAATCGCCACTGTTCCACTTACTAAATATTCTTTCTGCAAACAAGAATCGACTAATCGAAATTTTATCTACGATGTAAATGTTATTTGCGCTGTCAGGAATTCGACTCTGAGGAAAGGTAGGAAAATAGGTGAAAAAAAGGAATACAATTGTTCTGGTCGAATGTAGAGGGTAGATAGGGTATGTATGTATGTGTGTACCTATCTACACATTCCTAATGCAATTTTATCGAGGACCAAACAGAATTGTTTACCAGTTCGTTCCTGCGTGGAAAAATCGAGATACCGAAGTACAAGATAAGTAAAACGACATTAAATTACGGAGTCTAGACCGTCAAGGCATAATAATTTCCTCTTATCGTTGTTGCGAGAGTCGGTCGAAATAGATGAAAATTTAAAACGTTCCTCTTATGTAATTATTAGAAATACATCTGGATCGGAGTAATAGTAAAAGTCACCTGTAGACGAAATTTTCCACTAAGAAATAATTACGAACCAGATTTGGGAAAATTTCATTCTCGAATAACGAATAAAAATGTTGTATTCGCTCATTGATAACAATATAAATAATTTATCCCTCTTATGTAATTATTAGAAATACATCTGGATTTGGGAAAATTTTATTCTCGAATAACGAATAAAAATGTTTTATTCGCCCATTGATAACAATATAAATAATTTATCCCTCTTAACTAATTATTAGAAACACATCTGGATCGGTATAATAGAAAAAGTCACCCGTAGACGAAATTTTCTACTAAGAAATAATTACGAACCAGATTTTGGAAAATTTTATTCTCGAATAACGAATAAAAATGATTTATTCGCCCGTAAATAACAATATAAATAATTCATCCGCTGTGCATAGACGGATCGATGGATCGATCGATCGAGGGCGTATCATGATCACGCGCGTTCGAACGAGACGATCGCGTGCGAAACCTCGTTTCAGCGTTAATTAACGAAACGAGCGTACATTTCCTACGAACTGTGGGAAACTATCAGGCCACGAATCCCTCGTAAACGCGCGATGAGCTCAAACGATCCTCATCGCGTCAACATCGTTAACTGTTTCTCCTTTTCTCGTTTCCTTCTTCGTCTGCTCTCAACCAACCACCCACAATATGTACAACTATTAACGATGCGAATAATTACTACCTAATACCTCATTAATACGCTTCAAGACGAACATCATTCTCGGTAGCCAATCACACCAATGAAACAAACCTACTTGGCCTACGTTTATTCATTTCAATGTTTCTTGCGAATATTATTCAGGAATAACAATTTTCTAAACAATAAATTTCAATGTTTCTACAGTTACAGAAATTGTAAATACTAGTTTCTATTTAGTAATTTACGTTAAATTTTTTAATATTTTAGCGCTATCTCGCCCCAATATGCTCGCCTTCGGCAGAAATATCTAATTTGGTTTACTTTTTTTTCCACAACAATTGTTAACAATAGAAAATACAAAGTCCGTGTTTATGATAGAGAACCTTCATTTTTCGAGATAATGGAAAGACAAGGCAATCTTTAAGTAGTATACTCGATCATACTAGTGTAGACGCGAATCGGTAAACGCGAAGTTAGCGACTAGCGGCCATTGCCCACTATCGGCGAATTGGATTTCGCAAATTAGAAAAGAATGTGCGTTAGATACGACAGTCGTGCCTAGGCAGTCGACGACAAAAGACTGTCGGAGTATGTTTGTGTGATTTCCTACCCACGAAGGATTATGTTCTTTATTGTGACTTTTCCATATTGTAAATGAGAGAGATTATTCTATTTCCTTTTTCTTTTTCATTCTGCACTTTTTCTCAAATATTAGGTTGGGGGAAAAGAAATCCATTATTTTGTCGGTAGATGTCTGTAGTGATCGATATCTCGTAAAGTATCGATCAAACAATTTTAGATTTATGCTCTTTGCAAGGTGACATTTCACACTAAAAAATTTCTTTTGTTGTTTTTTATTTGGTCTATTCAGTTGTGAGTTACAAGGTGTTAAAAATGGAAGTCAAGAAAGAGAAAATTCGGTACATTTTATAGTTTTTCGTTGATACAGGCGAAAATGCAAGCCAGGCGGCTGAAATTGTAAATAGTGTTTATGGCCCCTATACTGTAACGGCTAATTACGTGCAATTTTGGTTTCGCCGATTCCGTTCAGGTATTTCTGATGCCAAAGATGTACCTCGCACAGGCAGGTCCGTCGTCGAAAATGTCGATAAAATTACAGAAATAATCGAAGTTGACCGGCATGTTAGTAGTCGTAGCATCGCCCAGGAGCTAAAGATCGACCATAAAACAGTTTTAAACCATTTGCACAAAGCTGGATTCAAAAAGAAGCTCGATGTTTGGGTGCTACAACAATTAACACCAAAAAACATGATGGATTGAATTTCCATCTGCGAAGCCTTAGTCAAACGGAATGAAATCGACCCATTTCTTAAACGGATGGTGACTGGGGATGAGAAATGGGTCACATACGACAATATTGTGCGAAAACGATCGTGGTCAAAGCGCGGTGAAGCAGCTCAAACGGTGGCCAAACCAGGACTAACGGCCAGGAAGGTTCTGCTGTGCATTTGGTGGGACTGAAAAGGAATCATTTATTATGAGTTCCTTCCATATGGCCCAACACTAAATTCGAATCTCTACTGTCAACAACTGGACCGTTTGAAGCTAGCGATTGACCAGAAACGGCCAGAATTGGCCAACAGAAGAGGTGTTGTGTTCCAGCAGGACAACGCCAGGCCACACGCGTCTGTAGTGACTCGCCAAAAACTCCGGGAGCTTGGTTGAGAAGTTTTAATGCATCCACCATATAGTCCGGACCTGGCACCAAGTGATTACCATCTTTTTCTCGCATTGCAAAACTTCCTGAGTGATAAGAAATTGGCATCAAGAAAATATTGTGAAAATCGGTTACTAGAGTTTTTCGCCAATAAGAACCAAGATTTCTATGAGAGAAGCATTATGAAGCTACCTTTAAAATGGCAATAAATTATAGAACAAAACGGCGCATATTTGACCCAAATCGGAAAATCCGAAACATGTTAAATAAAGTCTTGAAGTTCACGCAAAAATAATGGATTTCTTTTTCCCCAACCTAATATATATATAATTATTCAACCACGTGTTAATTATTCGACCACGTGTTGGTTGTTTCGAGCACGAGTTCGAAGCTGACGCTTACAGTCCAAATATTTCAGAAGTGGGATATGCTCATAATAGTTCGCCAGTTTGTTTCGGTGTTGATTTTTTGTTGGTGATTTCAAGTTATTTGAACTCTTAGAGGAGTCGGCAAAACCATGGTTGGTGATAGAACGGTCAAAAAGGTAGCCATCTTGGAATTTGGAAGTGCGTCGTTAACGGCTAATCTGTGAAGAAATGTCTTTCTGGCCACGACCGTGTTGGTTTGTAAACACTCGAACTATCAGTATCGTTTAACCAGTTAACTGCTTCTGACGAGTATACTCGTTACGAAAAAAGTGTAAAATTTTGTGTTATGACGAGTATATTCGTCATGAGTATTAAGTAGTGGCAATTTGCAGTTTAAATTGCAATTATTGTGAAAACTAAAATATTTAATTCCATGGTAGTTACTTTCTTGTTTAACCTTCAGTAATTCCAGCCCTTGGAATAAATTTTCGTACATCGATTTTTTTAATAGACTCACTGGACTACCAGTCTCCATGAACGCACTTTTACCCCGTTACTTAATCAGTTAACTCTGACGAGTATACTAGTCACGAAAAAAGTGTAAAATATTGTGTTATGACGAGTATATTCGTCCCAAGTAATAAGTAGTGACAATTTGCAGTTTAAATTGCAATTTTTGTGAAAACTAGAATATTTAATTCCATGGTAGTTACTTTCTTGTTTAACCTTCAGTAATTCCAGCCCTTGGAATAAATTTTCGTATATCGATTTTTTTAATAGACTCACTGGACTACCAGTCTCCATGAACGCACTTTTACCCCGTTACTTAATCAGTTAACTCTGACGAGAATACTAGTCTCGAAAAAAGTGTAAAATTTTGTATTATGACGAATATATTCGTCATGAGTATTAAGTAGTGACAATTTGCAATTTAAATTGCAATTTTAGTGAAAACTAAAATATTTAATTCCATGGTAGTTACTTTCTTGTTTAACCTTCAGTAATTCCAGCTCTTGGAATAAATTTTCGTACATCGATTTTTTTAATAGACTCACTGGACTACCAGTCTCCATGAACGCACTTTTACCCCGTTACTTAATCAGTTAACTCTGACGAGTATACTAGTCACGAAAAAAGTGTAAAATATTGTGTTATGACGAATATATTCGTCATGAGTATTGAGTAGTGACAATTTGCAGTTTAAATTGCAATTTTAGTGTTAAACTAGAATATTTAATTCCATGGTAGTTACTTTCTTGTTTAACCTTCAGTAATTCCAGCCCTTGGAATAAATTTTCGT